AACAAACACTTTTTGTATTAAAAAAGAAAAAAAAATTAAGTGTAAAAGTTAAGGGAAGGAATAATTTCAAGAAATGGGTAATCACCAGCATTAAATACCAAAGTGGTTAAGGATAAAAGAGGTAAGGTCACTGGGTAAGGAAATCATAATGAATGTTAAAAGTTAACATTCAATTATTATTTTCTGGTAGTTTTACTCTCAGTAGCATGAAAACCTCACATTAAATATCGCTTACTGACTATTAAGAACCTAACAACATTACACCCAATGTGACTGCTTCTGATGACATAAAATTTTACCCAAATAGAACTATGGGAATTGTCAAGCCTTTAGAGCTGGGAGGTCCTTGGAGGGCACAGTCTCCCACCCTTGTGACTACAGGCGATGGAGGAACGAATCTCTGACTGCTAGGTCCCACCCTGGCCAGACATGGCCCAAAACCCAGGTCTCCTGACTCCCACTTTGCGCTTGTTCCCCTCCCCCACCCTCCAAAAAATGTTTTTTTTTTTGTTTTCTTTTAAAGATTTTATTTATTTATTTGACAGAGAAAGAGCCAGCTAGAGAGGGAACACAGCAGGGGGAGTGGGAGAGGAAGAATCAGGCTCCCCGCAGAGCAGGGAGCCTGATGCGGGGCTCAATCCCAGGGCCCTGGGACCATGACCTGAGCTGAATTAAAGGCAGACGCTTAACGACTCAGCCACCCAGGCGCCCCCCAAACACTGTTTATTAAGCTCATTTTACAGCTATGTATGTTTGCGTGGGTTTTCCCTTAAGACTGGATTTTTGAAGTTACAATCAGAGTTTTTGCGCATTTCCCCTTTTTAAATTTTACATTAAGACCAATGTGCTAGGATCAACACATTTGGAAAATCTTAGTGACTAAAACGTGGCTTAGTCACAGTTCTGGTGATTTAAACATTCAGATAGTGACTACCCTGTGTCTCTCTTCATTTCAGTTTCACTACCCCTTCTGAAACGTCCGTCTTCCTTAACATTAACAGTCTTTATATTAAACACAAATTCTCCATTATCGGTCTTTGTTAAAGTCTCCTACTAAAACATTTCTTATAAAAATAACTTTTTAATGCTTTTTAATGCCATTCATTATAAGGCCCCACTACAAAATTAATTTGTGAATTAATGAACTTGCTACTAAAACCTGTAGTCCTATGTAAGGTCCAAGTAAACAAATCCGTCAGTCAGCCTGAAGTTAGGCTAGGCCTCCCTTGCCTTCGGCAAATATTTACTCTTACAAAGGTTCAAAGGTATAATTTGCTGACCTTATGGATCTTCCTCAAGGTTAAAAATAGATGATTTCAATTTACAGATCAATTTTCACATTGAAATAATGAAGAGAGCACCAATATAAGAGAAACTGCTTCTAAGTGACTTGTTTCTTGGCACTTACAGAGTAACATTATTTTATAATTTGATAAATTTAAATCCCTGGTGAATTCTAAATCAAACTGTCTGCCTGAAGAGTCATTATAATCACAGTACTGAGAGGCCATCACGACATTCAGCTGGTACCATAAACACAATGTCAGCGTGTACACATATTCAGATCACTGCACCAGCTTACCAGCAAGGAATTAGGTTGCCTAATGTCAATTTTCCCCTGAAAACAAAAACAAACTCCCTCAAAATAACAACAAAAACTTCACACATACACAAATATACATTTTTGTGTATATATATATGCGCATAAGGAACAATCTAAGGATAAAATAAACTGATAAAGAAATAAACTGCATAAATTTAGGACTGCGATGACTCCTTACATTGCATTCCCAGCTGAGTATTTCTTCTTCAGCTCTGGAAGGGCAGATGGTAGTTAAGGGATGCTTAGGTTTTGGACAAGCCTTTGACAAAATTAAGGTTTTATCTGAATGGTAGCAGACACAGCTATATAATTCCAGGGGTATGTAACTCAAGAGCTAGTTATGCTCCTTTATCTCTAACCTCTCCTTCTGTTTGTAGGCTCCACTCTCTACTGGTTTGGTGTTCAGCTCTGTACCAGCACACCCCACAGAGCCTCAGAGATTTGTAAAAATCTTAGTGAGAAGAACCTCGGAGGAAATCCAATTCAATCTCCTTGGACTCTTAAGAACTTCCTAAGTACACAGAGTCTGATTTTTTAAGTTTTAGAATAAGGTTCCTTTCTCTTTTGGGGTTTTGAGACTTTAATAAGATTTACGGGTCTAGAATAATATACTCAAACACAGAAATGCACCACATTTTGGATAAAATGTCACAGGGCTTGCATGTCTCTTATTAAAGTACCTCTTCTGATTATGGGTTTCTACATTACAGTTGTTTCCTTATCGGAGCTCTGCAAATCTACTTAAAAAAAACTACTTAAAAAAAAAAATAAGTTATCTAAAGTAAAACAACCTAAAGGCAGAATATGACTTTGCCTGTTGCCCCAGGCTGGATGACAGCTTTAATTTATTTCATTATAACTTCCTTGGAACTTTCTGGGTAACTCCTATAATATACACTATTGTGAAAAGATAGAGGCCATCACTCAAACAAAGCAGGAACTAAAAGACAACAATCAAAATGGAAAGCAAGAATGAAATATTTTTTAAAATCTCTATTAAAGAAAGCTTATAACATTACAAGTTCCCCATAAATAAATAAACGCATACCTGTTTTACTGTACTTTGCTTTACTGCATTTCATAGATAATTAACATTTTTCAAATTGAAGGTTTGTGGCAACACTGAGTCAAGCAAGTCTATTGGTACCATTTTTCCAACAGCATTTGCTCACTTCATGTCTTTGTCACATTTCAGTACTTCTTGCAATATTTCAAACATTTTCATTATTATATTTGCTATGGTGATAGATCAGTGATTACAACTCACTGAAAGCTCAGAAAATGGCTGGAATTTTTTTGCGATAAAATATTTTAAATTAAGGAGCCTGGGTGGCTCAGTCTGTTGAGCACCCGACTCTTGGTTTCAGCTCAGGTCATAATCCTGGAGTCCTGGGATTGAGACCCTTGTCGGGCTCTGCGCTCAGTGCAGAGTCTGCTTATCCCTCTCCCTCGTCTCTACTCCTCCCCCTGCTCCGGCTCTCCCTCTCAAAAAAATATATTTTGAATTAAGGTATGTACATTTTTTTAGACATAATGTTACTGAACACTTAACAAACTACAGTATAGTGCAAACATAACTTTTATATGCACTGGAAAACCAAAACATTCATTAGGCTCGCTTTATTGTGATATTCGCTTTATTGCGGTGGTATGGAACCCAACCTGCAGTACCTCCGAGATAAGCCTGTAAATGGATTTCAAGAAGAGACATTAGTTTTTATTCTTTCCCTCTTTCTCCTTATGATGGGGAACAAGCTGGAACAGTCCACCAACCCCTACAAGGCAAATTCATCCCCCCCCACCCCGCTTCTCCACATCTAAGTAAAAAGTCTATCACCAAAATTTCTGGTTGTATGTCTATTCCAAGGACATGGAACTACAGTTTATTAAACTACAAATAAGGTAATGGGAAATTTTACTTCAGCTTTGCCATTTCTGATTAGAAAAGAAAAACAGACAACTGCAAATGAGATTTAACAGGCAGGACACGAATATTGATGATGTCTGTAGAGCAGCAAGAATACTTCAGATATGGCTACTAATCTTTTCTGTTCTAAAGATTTCTATTTGTGTAGAAACATTTGGGCTCCACTGCAGAGAACACCACTGATATCTAACAGTCCTGTTAGAACTGACAAGAGAAGAACAGAAAGGAGCACCTCTGGGTAGAAGGAGCACATGATACAAAGGAACAATGGCAGGAGGGAGCCCCTTATGCCTGGTAACAACTGGGAACTACCTAAAAAGAGGCTGGAGAGAGCGAGCCTTACCCTCTTGGGTTCCGTAGGCCACACTGTCACCTGCCTCCAGGTGATTTCCAAACTATTCCCAGATGTGATCATTTTGACAACCAGAAGTAGTGCCAGTTTTCTGAGAGCTATTTTTTTATTTAATAAAAGTAGGTCATCTGAGTTCTAAGAATGTAAGTTCTCGTTATCGGAGTTCTAAGAATTTAAGTTCGTCCCAAGGAAACCAAACTGGCTATTTTTACTTGAGATGACTAAACGCAAAAAAAAAAAAAACAAGCAAAAAAAAAAAAAAACAAGCAAAACCAACTTAGGAACATTCTAGGCAGTCTGATTTTTCCTCTGGCAGAAAATGTTCATCACTGCTTAAAACAGAACATAGTATGTCAGTATGTGCGTGACTGGAATTAAAATCCAAAGATGTTTTGACATTTTCACTACAAGGTTTAAGGTACCTTTACTGCCTAAAGTAAACTAAGACTCAATGAAATTCAGAGAGGGGTAAACCATGCCCAACTTTTGCTACCTGCATGCAAATACAAGCTGTCCTTTTCTCTGTGTACTTCGCACACACATACTGCTCATTCAGAGGTAATTCTTTTCCAGTCAATATAAAACACTTGGGAGACAATTTATTGGAAACACCCATCCCAATGCCGTGCGTGGTAACGGAAGACTTCGTCCAACAAATTAAACTGCCCCCCACGGGCTCGGGCCAGGAAAACCACAGGAACCAGGGAAAGATAAAAAGCACTTGGGAATCTAAATACAGGCACTTCGGGCGATAACGCAGAGCAACAGCTCGGAGAGGAGACGAAGGTCGTAACAGAGGATGGAGTGAAAGAAGTCTGAGCTGTTGACTTGGGTTTCCGAAGCATTTCCTGGACCCGCGGAACACGCTCGGGGGCCCTACGTCGTCACCGGGGACCCAGCGGGGGTGAGGCTCGGGTGGAGACGCCGCCCGGCGGCGGGAGGTAACGCCCCCCTTTCCAGCCGAGAGAGAAGGAACTAGGTGTGTGGAAACCGCCGCTTCCTGAACAAGCAGGTCGAGGAGAAGCAGCTCGGCAGCCTCCCGAGCCCGCAGGCCGGCGGCCCCGGGGCCAGACCCCCTGTCCCCGGGCCCGGCTCGCCCACCCCGGCAGCGGACTTACGAGCTGCAAGCCTTTGAGCGCGAGCCGACGCAACGGAAGCCGGCCCAGGGAGAAGCAGGAGGCGAGGCCTCTCCGGGCGCCCCTGCCTGGGCCCGGGTCCTCCTCCGTGGTGGGGCCGTATACCACTCCATTCTCCATGGCCCAGGAACGCGGTGGCCGCAGAGGTGGCGCCGCGGACTTGACCGACACCAGGACCACCAGCACGGCCGTCACTTCCTGGGTCTCCGCCCACGCTTCCGCCCCACCCCGCCCCGCCCCGCCCCCGCTCTAGCTCCGCCCCCGCGCCTTAGCCACGCCTCAACCTTGCTCAACATCTGGAGAAAATTTCCCGCAGAGAGAACAGCATGTCCTAAGGCCCGAGTAAGGGAGGAGAGGAGAGGAAGTTGGAGATGTAGGCAGAGTCCACATAATGTAGGGGCCTTGCAGAGCAAGGAAAGAAATTAGGTTTCATTTTGAGGGCAGTGCGTTGTCTGAAAGGACTTTCAGGATTGCTCCCTCCTGCATCTCTCTGAATTCCTTTTAGTCTTACTTGTTAAAACCATTTAGTTTACTTGTCTCTTCCTTGTGCACCAACTCCCGCAGTCATATATGTTAATTTTGTGTGAACTTAAGGAAACTCATACTTTCATGTTTTATTTTAGCAACTGAAGTTGATTGCGTTACATGTCAGGCACACCTATTTTCTCAACAGTGTAATGTAGGTACTATCATTACTTTCATTTTACAGATGAGCAAACTGAGACCAAGAGGCGGAATATATCCAAGGGCAAACAGCTAAGGGTAGCTGGAATGCAGACCTACACAGTCTGACTCACAACCTTGTTGCTAACATGAACCCAGCAAACCTCAGCCTCTAACCCATCTCTCCATTAGAGCCTCAAAACCCATGGAACAGGGGAGGGGCCACTGCTGCCACCTACTTCCATATTTAATCTACTCTCCTCCATGGCCCCAAATCTCCCTTTCTTCCTCTGGTGACAGAACAAAAGCTCTTATTCAAATGAATAGAGACAAGTAGATACTACTCTGCGGGGCTGTCTATACAGCCAGCCCAAACTACCCTCTGTCTTTGATTAAATGCATTCTAAATGTCCTGCCAAGCAGCCACAGATCCCGTTCAATAAAACGAAGCCACCGTGTTTTCACCAGGGCTACAAGGACTCACTGCCCTGTAATTCTTCAAGTTGCCATAATCCCAAATCAGACATTACCGAGGTCTGAAATTTACTTTGAAATTCATCCAAAAAAAAAAAAATAAGACAGGTAGAGGAGCAGAGAGAAGGATAAAAGGATAAGCTTGTGTTAAAGCAACCGCTGTGACACGTTAACGGGGTAGTATATGGGTGACTACTGTGCTGGTTTCTTAATTCAACTTTTCTGTGTGTTTGAACATTTTCAAGATAAAATATTGAGGGGAAGTAATATTTAAAAACTTTGAGCAAGGAGAGAAGATGGACAGATTCTCTCAACCCTCTCAGTTTATTTAAGGTGCACTTAGGCATGCTCTAGGGGGTCTCTACCTCTCTTTGAATTCAGAAGAAGATAAGAATTCAGCTCATGATTCACAAACTTCGGGATGCCTAAGAATCATCTGGGAGGTTAACTAAAAATAAAGGTTCTTGGAGATCTGCCCCAAAGTTTCTGAATTTGGGTGGGTCTTGGGAGTATACTTTTGTAACAAGCTCTCCAGAGGATACTGGTGAGAAATCCATGCATGTGAAGGAACATTGTTTTATGATGTGATAAGAATGAAAGCCGTTACGAAGGAGACAGCAGATGTGCCATAACTTCCTTTGTCCTGATTGATTTAGCGGTGTCCAAATCAATTAGACTAAGGCACTAATATTCCTCCCAGTTAAAAACAACAACAACAACTGTGCATTGCTTAAGTTTTCTTAATAAAAGACCAACTAAAGAGTTTAGGGCTTCATGAACAAACACTTGTATTAGGGACCCCATTTGATGGGTGCATCAGCTAGGAAAGCTGTCATGTTTGTTCATGAATAAACAGCACCGAACAGTTACATGTCACAGCAAAATGAGGAATCTTATTTATGGAGAAAAGATATACCAAAGAGAAAAAAGAAAGGCTCATTTAAGTTTTGAAGAATATTCATTTTTCTCCTTCAATATTATGTAGTTAATATTTTTTTAAAACGAGGAATAGGAAACATTCACAAAAAGTGATAGTTTGGGAAAATATACTTTGGTGAGATTTTAGACATTCAAAAAATAATTTGGTGCTACTTTTTTCAGTTCAGGTTTTGATTTTTCAGCAGCCCCTACTCAAAAACTTTTACTGGCTTTCTTATCTATTTTACTGGCTTTCTTATCTATATTAGCACAGTTAGGCAATAATGTGGATACAAAGCTGAATCACAGATGAAGTCCTACAATAAGGCCACAGAAACTTCCATAAAGGACCATGTCATAAAATAGAAAGTGATACTTGCCATAAAAGAGATACAAATTAAATGTGCTGGGAATTCAGAGAGAAATCACTTGCAACTAAAGGATCAGTGTGGTGGAGTTTCAAGCTGGGGGTTAAAGGATACTTACGTTTGGGTATGCAGAAAAGGACGGAGGATACTGTAGGCAGAGGAGCCATAGGAAGGAAGGCAAAGAAAGTACACACAGGCACAGAGAATGGAAGGAAGAAAGGACAAAGAGGAGTCAAGGAAGACAAGCTTGGAGTCAAATATTGGAGGGCCTTAAAAATCAGGCTAAAGAACTGGGGCTTTCCTTTATTGTTGAACAGTGAAGAACCACCAAAGGGTTTTAGGTTAGGGAAGTAAAATGACCAGAGCTCTTCCTTGAGGATGTTTTTCTAGCAGGCTGATGTAGACTGGATTGGTTACAAAGAGCCAGGTAGGGGCTGTTATAAAAGTTCAGGAAAGAGGGAACAGGAGCTTCAACTCAGAAAGTAAGTCATGGAAATAGAAGAAAGAGGATGGCTTGAAGAGAAACTGTGGGAGGTAAAATCAGTGAGATTTGGAGATCGGTTTGTTTGAAGAGGAAGGAGGCGTTAACCCTTGTCAGTGTCAAAGTATAAATTTCAAAGAATTAAAAAGATGACTCTCATACAAGTATATAGTAAGCATGCTTCAAAGATTTACTTTATTAGTAAAGTCATCAGGAGAAAGTAAAACTGGTTCAGAGGAGGATATGAGAGACCGTGGTATGTGTGTATATGCATATCTGTATATATATGGATGTATGTACAGTGTTTAAAAATATACAGTGAAAGGGAAAAATGCTGGAATATGGTTACTAGGTTAGACTCAAAACTGACTAAGCTTCTTCAAGGACAATAAAATTGTTGCCTTTGTGATGAACTCTAGCAGAGAGAAATCATTTTCGTCTCTCTCAGCAAACATCATTTGTAGCTTATCAATCTTCTGTAATTAACACCTAACTTCACAGACTCTGGGTCCAACTCAATAATAAATAGTAAGTCACATAAAATTATCTTTTAACCAACAAGGACCCGTAAGAGGGTTTGGTAGATGATGTGCTGCTGGTCCAGGGATTGGCAAACTTTTTCTGTAAAGGGCCAGATAGTAAGTCTTTCAGATTATGAAGGACATATAAGTCTGTCACAACCACTCAACTCAATCCTGCTGTTATAAAGTGAAAGCAGCCATGAATGATACAGAACTAAATGCCATAATGCCATCATGTTCCAGAAAACTTCATGAAAACAGGCATCGGGCTGGATTTGGCTCATAGTTCGCCAGCCGTGTTCCTGTTCAATATTTCTCGAACTTGAGTGATCATCATACTCACTGGAGGGCTTGTTAAACCACAGACTTCTGGGCCCCATCTCCACAGTTTTTTCCTTCGTAGATCTTGAGTAGAACCCAAGAATTTACATTTCTAACAAGTTCCCAGGTGATGCCTGATGCTGCTGGTCTAAGACCATACTTTGAGAACACGACTCTCGTATGACATGGAAAGGGCACTCAATAATCCGTTTGCCTTATTTCCAGGTTTTGGATCATTTGTCTTAACAAAAGGAAGATGAAGAACTCTGATTAGGACAGAGGTCTCAGTGCCAGAGGGCACCAAGTAGAGTTCCTGATAAATCGTTTTAAATATGGATCTAGAGCATTGGAAGAGATAAGGCATTTGGGGGATACACATAGAACTGACAGAACCATACAAATGTTAAGGGGAAGCTCCTATAGAAAGAAAAGGATTTAGGCTAGAACTTTGGAGGCAGTGGGAGAGAGAAGGTAAGGAGGAGGCAGAGAAATAAAGGGGTGTTTACAGACAGCAGGAGAACACAGGAAGTGGTGCTATGAAAGGCAAAGAAAAAGTCTTACGTTTTCCTTGCCAACATTTCCAGACACTGCAGAGTGGACAAGGATGCCAGATATGCAAAGAAAAGTTTGGATCAGAGATCTTCTTGGGATGATAGCTTATCAAGTTCCTCTCCCAACAAAACTAGGTTAGAGAGGATAAGCGATCAACGTGGTCAATCTCCACATTTCATTTATTACCAGCAGAGGGCTGCAAGGGCAAAGGAATGTTAATAACGCTCTTTGGTCTAGGGTTTCTGCCCTCCGCAGGGAGTTAATTCCACAGTGGTATTTGGCCTGGGGGGCGAGGCGGACACCATGGATCACTTAGCCTCTTTGCTCTCGTTATCAGTTGGGTATTTTTTTTTTTTTTTTAAGATTTTATTTATTTGAGAGAGAGAAATCATGAGCAGGGGGAAGGGGTAGAGGGAAAAGCAGGCTCCCCACTGAGCAGGGATCTCAATGTGGGACTCCATCCCAGTACCCTGGGATTATGACCTGAGCCAAAGGCAGACACTTAACCGACTGAGCCACCCACGTGCCCCATCAGTTGGGTATTTTAGTACAGGACAGTTTGATTAGTTGGGTGACAGATGTGATGAAGAAGTGTAGAAGATTTTGACTGGGGAAGAGAGAAGGTGGGATCCAGTTTGGGATTTGGATTACAGGGAGTCCCTGTCATCACAAGGCAACCCTTAACACAAGACTTCCCCTCATGGCCCATAGTGTCATTAAAGATAATAGAAAACCGTCTTAGAGGGGTGCCTGGGTGGCTCAGTTGGTTGGGCGACTGCCTTCAGCTCGGGTCATGATCCTGGAGTGCCACGATCAAGTCCCTCATCGGGCTTCCTGCTCAGCAAGGAGTCTGCTTCTCCCTCTGACCCTGCCCCCTCTCATATGCTCGTGCTCTCTCTCTCAAATAAATAAATAA